GGCCAAACCACAATAAGATGGTATTCACTGTCTGGCACACTCAGACCGATACGTGGGTACAGCGACGACGGAGCTTCATGGTAGCTGAGCGCAACAAACTCAGCGTCCACGCATACAAAGACTACAGTACGTCTCGATCATCACTAATAAGGGCTTAAACAACTAGAATCTGGCGAAATGTCTTCTCGCTACAAAGGCCTGGACAGGACAGTATTTTGCTCTTCCCGTGGTCGATGCACAAATCAAGTTCGACGCAGTCGTCCGAAAATGGACAGTGGTGCTTTTTTTCCGAATAACTCAGGCCGATAGAACGTAGGTTGGTTTTGGTCAGTGCAATTTGCAAAATCTTATGCAAAATGAAACCGAAGTCTTACGGTGTCTCTGGGATAAATTATTTCGCTTCAAAGTGCTGAGGTTGATCTGCATCCATGGAAAAATCGAAAACGACGGGGATCCACTCACATGGAATTCTTCGTTCAGCTACTGAATTAATCAAAGTAGTTCATAATTACTCTCTTCGAAAGTTCAGTACCGATGACAGCCATGCCTCGAAAATGGGGGTTTCTTGCTTCGACAACGTATTGCAAAATCTAGACTGACAACATGAATAAATGTAGTCCACGAAAAATGGAAAGTCAGCACCAGTGCAAAAACATCAGTTTACTTTGCAGGTTTTTCTCTATACTCATAATAAATACTCATAATAAATACTCATAATAAATAAAACTCATAATAAATCATAATAAATCCAAGATTCCTGCGGTGCAAGACGAGAATTATGCAATCAACACCTGAAATTAGAGTTGCGTCTTGAAAATCTCTCAGGGCATTAAAGAAGTCCCATAAAAAATCACACAAAACTCTCATGCGCATCTTCTTTACAAAAACTGAATATCCATCTTCTCCTTGACTGCGTCGCGTCTGACTTTCCTGGATATTCATTGACTGTTACTCAAATGCTAGCAGATGTTTCAAGGCGACTCCGTAAATTCCGTAATGAATATCCCTCTTTAAGAGACGCGAAGCGGATTAACGAGAAAACATACTATCGCGCGCCTCACCAGTAGTTCCCACCGTTAGACATATAGACACACGACTGTTGGTTTCACGTTGGCACGACAGCTGCTAATAGGATCCGTACTTCAGAAAATCTAGTTTCCGATGTCCCTTATTGGTTTGATTGTTGTAGAACTCCAAGATTGAAGCATTTATTATCTAACTACTTGATACTCCATTGAGTAACAGCTCCTGGCTACCAACCCATTACTTACAACTACTACACTATGCTCCGAACCCTTTTTTTGCGCAACCAAACCCAAACTTGGAAGATCCCTGTTGGTATGTGGGCAGTTTTCAATGCCATGACTTTGACAGACCACGTGACAAAGAGCGTATGTGTGCTTGCCATATGATGGGAAAAAAGGATAATGGACCAAATAGGTCGGCATAAACGGTCTTTTCATAACATTGCCCCACAGAACTGATGAAAATGACACAATAGCCAACAATCTTACCTAGGTATATGGATGTGCGGTTGACACCTCTCGAATATAAACGTTGAAGTGTATCAGTTGAATTCCGGCGAACTAGTATCTTGCTAAAAATGCGTGAACAGGACACGCGGTTTTACTCTTTCCGTAGTGGATGGATGAATCAAGTTGGACACTGTCATCCGACGATGAACAACGGCGGCAGTACAGTCCCATAAACTTCATGCACGACAGGGTTTCAGGATTTAGGGAAATATTTAGTAAATAGCCGTTAAATTAAGAACGGTAACACCAGCACCATATCATGGTTTCTCTATGGTAATCTTTTTGTGCATAGCTGCAGTGTAATTTTGGGGCTTGATGGTGGAAACACCCCCAGGTTGTTCAAGCCGTGAGAGGAACAGTCGAAAAGCTGGGGTTGGATCCGAACCAAGAATCTCTCGGTCAGTAGATTGGTGTCTTAGCTGCTTATTTATTGCAAAATCGAACAATGCATTGAATTTATTTCAAATTTTTTGTGTCCAATGGAACTGTGTCTCTCGCATGGTTCAGTGGCTTTTCGCACTGAGATGGTCCCTATGGAGATCCCTCCATCCATCACAACGAAAAACGTCTAGAGCAGTTGAAATGCGGTTATAATGAGGTGTGGGTCCGTTTGTAGGAGCATTGAACGGGGTAACTGTAATGTGAAGCACTGAAGCTCGTGATTTACTACTATAAAAACGTCATGAAAGACACGTACCCGAAGATGTGATTGCTGGTGCACGAATGCCATCTCTATGAACAACAGAAATTTACGTTTGAGCACGCATTCTGAAGTATGGAACTGCAGTAAACCTTTAAATTTTCAGAGAAGTTTGCGATTTTCCACTACTTCAGGATGGGTTTATCATAGTACAGTGTGACTGAAGCTTGTGATTTACTATTATAAAAAGTCTTGAAGGACACGTACCCGAAGATGTGGTTGCTGGTGCACGAATGCCCTCTCTATGAACAACAGAAATTTACGTTTGAGTACGCATTCTGAAGTATAGAACTGCAGTAACCTTTAGATTTTCAGAGAAGTTTGCGATTTTCAACTACTTCAAGATGGGTTTATCATATTACAGTGTGAGTGATTAAAACAGGATGAAACTATTCACCTGCTAGAAGAAATAACTTGTTTTGACCAGTCACGTAGCAGTTTTAGAATAACTCCAACAGCACTTGAAACAGACAACTCCCCTCATTTTTGGTGGGCTGTCTGCAAAGTTATTTGTTGTAACCAGAGGTAACTGTGTGGTATTCAGACTATTCTTTCCCGAGAATTTTGCTAACCGAACCACTTTGTACCACTTTGTAGTAATCCATCTTTGTCGTTTGAGACCTATATTTTTTCCATTTTAATTGCGGTACATTTATATGAAACAAAGCAATTTTCGCCACTTTACAACACATTCTTACATGTCCATACTCGTTCAAAACCTAACGCTCGTAATTCGTACGCAAACAGGTATATTAAACCATTGAATGAACACTGGAACATTGGAAGTTCGTGCAAATACTTTGGGTGGGTCCACCGGCCAGTGGAGTTTACGCGATAATGTGTTGCATGAAGAACAAAAAACCATCACTGTCTTGCTTTCAGTCACATACTGGTATACTTAAGTTTCATTTGGGGCGGGAGATATTCGGTAGTACCATTCACACTCTTTATACAACCCAAATGAACTATAGAATTATTTCGCCTGAATGTTATAATGTCTCTTAGTAGTCTAGCGCTCAAAGCTTCCTTCTTCAACTGAGTGCACTAGGCCATCTCTTGTTTCATTTAGCCGATATTCGAGGTATCGTAGTACGTTGTCTAGACGCAACACACTACTCATTATGTTGCTGAAAACTCTCGGACAGTCCACGACCGGCTTCGCCCCTCCTTTACGGGCTTATTAGGTTGGTGCAGTTCCCAAGTTTCCGTCAGTCTTAGGTTCTAATTGAACACGAATTGGACGGAGATCTTGACGGGAGACTCAACTGAGGTCAACCGAGTCTCTCTTTTATGATGGAAACTCAGGGATGGTGAGGACGACATCGGCGGTACCCAAGATTTTGCGTCTAGTTCTGGGATCCTGTTTCTAAACTCCGGGATTATTTGACCAAATGAGACCACCATCATCTGATCCTCCATGCTATGTACTTTCTCCAGCGTCTTGTTCCAATTGATCCCCCAACGTGGTCTATCATGATTAGAGATGGTCTCCGGACGGTGGGTGAGAAGCTTCCGAGAGTGTTTCGCATTGGCAAACCGCAGAAAAAGACGTTTTTTCAAAAATTGAGGAATTCGCTGTGGACTCTATAGTCACTCGTAATGGAGGATGAGAGAGTACAACTTCAATCACACTGTAAGACCTCAACTTACCTCTTTTTTGGCTTCCACATGAAAGGAAGTGTGACTAACCGGATTCCTTCAGAAATTCCCGTAGGAAAAACCTGAGATAAAATGAATTCTTCCGCCTCGAATGCAGACACCACGTTTTTCCTAGATGTGCCTACTGATGAAATGCTGGTTTGCATTCATAGACAAAACGGAAATTGCATACGAAAACTCCAGGGCTACCGTAGACTTGAGTGAACCTTATCTAACTGGTTGAAACAATACGCTACTTTTGATAAACCAAGTAGTGAGAGAATGAAGACTGTTAAATTATACCTATGCAACGAGATCCAACCGTGATCCAGGTTCCTTCCCTAGGTCCGTGTTTGCTAGCCAAAACCTGCCAGTAACTTGGAGCTGTTCCTCTGGAATTTAATTTTTTCTGGCGCAACTCAGTTTTCTACCGAACCCCAGATATTTGGAAAATAGAGTTCTAAAATGTAGTAATTTTCGGGATTTATATTTCAATGCTGATTGGTCGGTACTTTCGGGGGCAAAGTGTGTGAAAATCCAACTTGTTTCTCATGATAAAATCCCCCATATGTTGCGTATTTGCACCATCTCTACCAGTAGATGAGGTGGACTCCTTCTAAATTATGGTGTAGCTACCAATCAAACCATGAGCTATCTGACTGTGATCTGGTTTATGCGGCATCCATTAGGTTGGCAGGCACGACCCAAAAGAGACAGAACGTGAATCAGCTCTACACAGCGGGTAGAGTGAAGCGTAAACACAACTTGCGTGGACCAGACGCAGGATATTGTCTTGAGTGGCCACAGAGGGAGACACGGACAGATAAGGATGCTCTCGGAAGCACGCGACCTACCACTGTAGCCTACTCTTAGTGCCCAGTTGAGGTTGGCGAGAGCCACTGGCCCTTTGAGTGTGGAGGAGCTGGTACCTCTAGCATGGGAACTGGCCAAGGCGCCACTGGCCACGTTGCAGTCGCAGGAGAAGAGCGATGATTCATCAGTGGAGGACCCGCAATAAAACGATAACCGAACCATCAGAGATTTGATGGCGGTCAAGGGTGACTGAGAAGTGAATCTACCCATGGTGTTGTTAACACTTTGTGTTTCGATACAGCCAACCACAGGGTTCATGCACGGTCGACATCCGTGCCTTCCAGTTGATCAAGAGAGTAAGCTTTGGCCGAAAACACCTTGCCTCCGGAGGAACTACTAGAGGAAAGGAGGAAAGCTAAAAAATAACTTGACCGCCGTTCAGCAAAGGACTAGACAGAATGATTAAAACATAGTAAAACAAAATTTGACTCCTTAAAATGAGCGTGCTGCATGGAAAGTAAACTGAGATAACAACGAAAACAAACAGATAGCCCACCAAACCGGACCAAAGGCTTTCACTGGCGAAACATACCTATTGATCCTATAGGCTTGGGCGGTATTTCTCAACTGGACGAATTTGCACATTACCGTACACACAAGCATTCATGTGCAAACACGCTTAACATGATTGTCACTCATTCCTGAACTCTGTTATTAATCGATTGGATTCATTTTGCTTGATCAACTTTCCTAGAGACGGTCGGGTAGTTTTATGGAAGCCGGACAGTTGGAATCAGATACGTACGTGGAATATATTGCTGTACGTATTAGTTTAACACCAGTTCGTAAGTGTAACCATTCCATGCCATATTTTTCCATATTTCAGTTGTCCTAATATCCAGGACTTATCTTAGTTCAGGTACTTGCCAAATAGTCCGGCCCCAATATAGGTATGGCTTATTGTTGCGTGCTAACAGAAGGCATACCCACGAGTGACTTGGACTAGCTAGATGGCATATCAGTCATAATAATTGAGACAGTACGACACAGGTTCAGAACAATAAACTTAAACTGTCAACCAGTACTAGATTCGCGTAACTTCATCAAACAAACAACACTGTACTGTTCCCTAACTAATACTAAGCGATTTTCGTGAGCCCCGATGCAGGTTATCACCAATCGAAATGGGGTACCCAGCTGAGATCATGGATGTGGTCATCAGGCCGAATGTTTAATCACTTCGCACTGTTCTACCCAGTGTTGAATAACGTTCTACTGGCTTGGGGACTATACAATGGATAACTAGTGAGTGTAACTTCTGAATGCCCCGAAAAATTGGAGCTCATTTTGAGAATACCCTTATAGAGAACTTTGCAGCGTTTTGAGACCATTCGCACGATACTGTGCCACTCAGCTCGAATTATCAAGTGAAAATGCACTCTTTTCCTGAATCCTGACTGATCAATTTTACAAACAGAGGGCGAGCATGTGAGGTACTATCCAGGCACACGTGGGCCACTCCATAAGAATACGCCTCACAAACGCCACAAAGAAGTTGGACAAGAAGGGAAGTCCGTCTCCTGAATGACGACAAATCACCTCCTCCGTGGTCGAGAACATCAGCTAGGGAATACTCGATTCGTACGTATAAACAAAAAAAGCATCTCATCTAGTAGTCAGAATAAAGTCAGGGACACCATGACATCAACCACAATGGAAAAAAACAGTGATTTACTGGTGAAAGGAAGAGGGCTGCCAGTTCCAGACTAGTGGACACGGAAGCAAAATTCTCATATGAATCTTGTCTATAAAAACTGAATATCCATTTTCTCCTTAAACGCGCCTTCCTGAACTTTCCTGGATATTCAGTGACTGTTGCCCAAATGCAAGCAAAAGCTACAAAGTGACTCCACAAATTCCGCAAAAGATTTCCCTTTTCAAGAGATGTAAAACGAATTTACACGAACAAAACCTACTACTTGCATGCCTCCCCATCAGTAATATTACCAATACACTGGTTATTAATGCTGATGACTATGGGGCACGAGAACACATCTCGGGCCCGAGAACACCAGTCAAGCTCTACTGCGGTTGGAAGGGGCTTCACATGTTTGAAAGTACAATCGATACTTTCAAATGTATCATTTCCGGATAAAAAGACGGTACAAATTAGTACATGTCCACCAAACTAACCCTATTTTCCAAGAGCCATTTCCTGAAATCGCCACCCAAATGCAAGACGACAATGTCAATACAGAGAAGAAAGAGCAAGCTATTCCTCAGCAACTAGCAAAAGCCTAGATGGAACCGTCATTTCTATCATATCTGTGTCTGTAAAAACGAATTGCAGTCCCAGTACACAATGAATCGTTCATTCCTGCGTCAACTTCTCCCACACATCAGTACACCACAGTGGAATTGCAGCAACCGGTAACATCTCAAGACAATGCACTACAACATGGTGATCTTTCAAAATAGCATCCCTGATAATAGGAGTTGAAGCCTAAAGAGATGCACAAAACCACATTCTCTCTCTCGGCTGGAACTTGATATGTGGTCACGGAGAGGAAAGTCATAGGCGGCTCACTTCCCATTAGTTTGACAGCTATGTAGATAGTTGTGGTCGCCACAGCTTATGACGGTCGGTAGTGTGGGATAGAGGGGATACAGAACGTCTTAAAAAATAGAAAGGAAAGGAAACAGTTATTAATATCAAGGAAGTAGATATGACACGCATATCCAAGAATCGATCTTTTGGCTCTTTGTTATCTCACACTCGCAGATAACCTGCATTAATGCACCCAATACCTTTTTTATATTTTTCACGCTCCGTCATTTAGTGTCCATCTTTTGGTACCTTCTAGCGGAAACCCAGCTCAGCAAGCAGAGCATGGCAAGGAACCGATCACTTATACTGAGGAACACATGACCAAACCAGCGTAGCTGTCGCGGCCGAATCAACTCACCAGTTGGGTTGGCAGCTGATTTGCTGCCAAAAAAACATTTGTCAAACTTCAGCACTGCTGAATGGATGTTCCTATGTAGCGGACAAAGACCTTATCAGCGTGTTCGGATAAATTAACAAGCAAAAGTAACCAATACAAAATCAAAATCACAATAGGAAAAGAATGAGTAGTCAAATGGGGACTCACGAATGTGTAGATCCAATAGTCCACTACACCGATCCAAATGCAGGAACTGGCTGTGAAAGGAAATATCCACTTGTCGAAATTTCCCACAGATGGTTCCACGTGCGTGATATATTCCACGGTAGGAAAATTATTCACGGCTAAAAAATGCCACAGGGATTTATTGTGACGTCCAACAGTTGACACAAACACAGAGATCTGGTCCCACTTGTTCAGCAGTCAACAAACAGTTCAATGTAGCGTAAATACACTCGTTCAGCAAGAAGTCAGCAGGTCGCACCGGAAAAATGTGTGTTCTTAACATTAAAACAAACGTCATGACACACTGTGAACGACAGTTACAAAGTGTGGTTTAAGTTCAGGAAGAATGGTAAATGTGACAACGGATTACAGACACTACATGATCAAGCAAGTTTTTTGTCTCCAACACACAACAGTCAGACTTCAGAACAGCAACGCGACACTGGATGAACTGCGGCTTTGTAAACTCAGTCTGGTAATGCCATTTCGAGTACTGAGATGCCTAATTTGGAGAAAGGAACAACGAATTCAACGATTCCAAGATTGACTTCGTGGGTACTGTTACTATCCGGCGTAACTCGACCATGCAGATAGGTTAATCTTCCGTTCACTACCTCTAGTAGTTTGATGCCATAACCCTGTTATGGCGCTTTGAGCTCTGAAAGTAGACCGGACTTTTTAGTCATCTTACTGTATGATGAATTCACCAACCTGCAGTTTTTTTTGACCCCCGTGTTGCGGGCGAGTTGGAAAAAAACTCAACTATTCTCAGTCGCTGCCGTTCCTTCAGGTTCACTAAGCCACTTCTTCTCCTGGTCAGTATTGCGACTGCAAGTTATGCGCCGTTTCAGAGGTCTTCTTGATGAATAATATTGTCTTCTCGGTGGGACGGCGCCTCTCACCTTGATCAGACACTGAATGAAGTGAGCAGTGGTCTTGTTTTGGAGCGTACACAATCAAAAATGAATCTTTAGCGATTCGTATGTTGAACTGGTTTGTTCCGCGTCCATAAACTGCCTAGACAGCTGCTGTTGGTAAAATTCTTTGACGTCTGCACCTTGAAGGCAGTGAATATTATATTGGTGATAACTGTTAAACGAACGAAAACATATGCATGAAGCAGGGCATGATCTGACTCCGTACATGTGTCCTAAGACGAAGGAAAGCCTTGAACAGAAGATAGTTCAACATTATTTCTCCTTATGACCATCTCAATCGGATTTGCAATATAAACTAATCGACAGTATCTTTTCATAAAGGAAACCACTCACAAGGTTGCTAAAAACTCTTCGACAGCCCACGACCGGTTTCGCCCTTCTTAGAGCTCATCAGGTAGGCGCAGTCCCCGAGTTTCCGTCAACCTTATGATCTACTTGAACCCAAATTGCAGTGGTTTTGAGAAATACACTCGTTTGAAAATCAATTTGGTTTTCAGTATCGTTTCAGAAAAGTTTGGTAAATGGTCGGTGGACTTATGACTAGGCTACGTTTCGCTTTTCTTGTCACAAAAGCTTCGTCAGGTCAAGTGAGTAAAATATCAGACTGGTTGGGTTTCAAGGTAGTCAGAGAACCAATGCGTGAAACTTCTTATGACTGGCGGACGTGATCAGTGCTCAGAGTATACTGTCGCCAGACAAATCAACGCACATACTGGTATGTTAGAAAAGAGAAGAAAACAATGGTGAAAGGATTTATTGACTTCAAATGAATACAGTCAGATTGACTGGTTTATCCCGTGACCATCAACTAGTTCGGTGGCAGCCATTCGGGCTGGTAAGCAGTGCCCTTCGCTGGATGATGATGGCCTTTTCTTATGAACGAACTGTTTCTGCGATGGTTGCCGCGAATAACCTGCACGATCCGGTTTTGTGCCGGTCTGAAGATCATTTTACCGTCCGTCGTCTATCAACTACGGGAAGTTCCCAAATATCGATTTACTTTATTTCATAGCTTTTACTGCTCCAATCTGTAGTCTATACATGTATATCATTCTTGTAGTTGTCAACCAAGTCAAGTCCACTTGTGTACAGAGTGATCTATCGGTGCCGTGGTAAAGTGTATCTCAGTGAGCACGAGGTCGACCGTTCCAAGCGATATTTGACCAGTAAATCGGCGTCAGTGTGACTTCATTTTCGTCTCGCATATGTGAGCACATCAGGTATTTGAAGAGCTAAAACGTTTCTCTTGTCCAAATCCATGGGATTATTTACTCAACTGAGAAGAAAA